GTCCATGGATGGTCCGAATGTCAACTGGAAGCTGTTTTCTATTGTCCAGCAACACATTGAGGAACAAACAGGCAGGAAGATGTTGAATGTTGGAAGTTGTGGTTTACATACCCTACATAATTCATTCAGAGCAGGGTGTGCAGCAACAGACTGGGAACTGGGAAATGCCTTGTCAAGCCTATGGCTGTTTAAAGATGTTCCAGCTCGTAGGGAGGACTACACAGCAGTGACTGGTTCTTCATCCTTCCCCCTTGACTTCTGTAGTCATCGATGGCTAGAAAATGNATTATAATTATAATAAATTAATAATAGTTTTACATCTAAAAATCATATCTTGCAGAGGTGCCAACCATTACGATCTCACCGTAATCATTACGATATTGAGACCCGCTCTGAACCATTACAGCGTACTAAACATTTATTACGATCTGGCCTTGTGCCCAGCTCCTGGGAACCCCCTCCCGCTGCAGCAGCATTTTTCCACCTACGTGGTTCGGTTTGGCTCCACCCCACTCCCCACCCTGTGGCTCCCTCCCGCTTTCAGCCCACTTTTTCAGACCTCCTGTCTAGGGCTGGCTATCATGGCCAATTCTCTGTATCGATTCGATTTCGATTCATTAAGTTCAGAATCGATTAATCACGATTTGATTCGATTCAATGAAAATGTTTATTGATACTGATATTGTATTTTGCAACTGTTGGGGATGGGTATTATGGCCAAGTCGCTAGATCGATTCTAGTTCGGTTCATAAGGTTCTGAATCAATTAATTTCGATTCGATTCACTCTGAAATACTGAAAATGACTCAGCTGTGTTTCAAACTACAAATGTACTTTATTTAGTCTCTTCAGTCCTCACCATAAACAGGTTTTTGAGTGCAAAGTTGTAAATTGAACAGTTCCAACTTGAACTGTAAACAAGTGTCTCAAGTCTCAAAGGTACAATGTTCACATTAAAAAAGGAATTGCAAATGAAAATGTACCTGAACTATAAAATTATATTATTTCTGTACTCAAGCCATTAAGACATTGTTTCTTATGGTGCAAAAATAAAAATAGCAGTACGTAACAAAACTCTCAAGTCTTAAAGGCGCAATTTTCACAAAAATGAATTGTAAAATGAAAATTTACTTGAACTTGATTATTCTGTTACTGTAAATGTCTTTAAGACAATGTTTCTTAAAGTGCAAAAATGAAAATAGTAGTAGCTACATAACTAAAAGTAAACATAACTCAGTCAAGTCCTGTTAATGTGGCTCTGTTCTCTCACTTGCTAATAGTGAGATTCTTGTGCAGGAAAAAGAGCTCACTGACATGATCTGGAGTTTGGCAGCTTCTTTTTGCAGTGACAATATCCCCTGCAGTTGAAAACACCCTTTCCGATGCAACACTTGTCCCAGGAACACAAAGATGTTGCTTCGCTAGGCGAGCCAACAGTGGGTACTCCCTTTCGTTAGACCTCCACCAGGTCAGAGGATTTTCATTCAGCCCAGCAGGTTTTTCTGCCTTGTATCTTCTGACTTCATCTTCAGCCATCGTTGCCAGAGTCTTCTGCTCATTTTCTTCTACTGTTGAGTAGACTGCCCCAAACAGAGAGTCCAAGATGCTGGATCCCTTTGGTTTCTTGGGCAAAGTCGCTTCCCCCGTCTCCTCAGTGTCATTGCCTGTATTTTGCTGTTGAATAAGAAAAAATAAAAATAAAATGAAATAAATAGATTGAAAATCATTTATGATTTCATTACATAATATTCCTTAAAATGCAATAGAAAATCATTTAATAATCAAAACATTCATAT